AAGTTCAGAAAGATTCCTAAACCCATGCCACCACTGAGGGCATCCCAAGACCGGGAGGAACAGCAAACAGAAGAAAACTATCTGAGCACACCCCGCCAGAGGGCGCCCCGAGCAACAAACAGGCAGAAACAACTCCACCTCTCCCTTTGCCAAAAAATATGCCACCTCTCGACGGAGCCAAGCAGCCGAGGACGCTAAGAGGTTTGAACTACGGAGGCCAAGGATCCCCAAGACAGCAACCATCTAGGAAGAAATACACACCAGAATATATGTGGACAACATTGAAATTCATCGCGAAGTCAGACAGCGAAAGTATTACCAGGATATCTTGGTGGATTTTTGGTATTATTATTATTATCTGTTGCAGTATGTGTGGAGACATTCAGTGTCTCCATAGCTTGGCTTGTCCAAGACACGACCCAGAATTTTTTAACAGGTTCTCTCTGCATTTGGAGGCGATAGACAGGAATCACCTGGATCTTTTTGTGATCAAAGTTACCAAGACTGGGTAACTGTTTTGCTTGGTATGCCCCTGGAATGTTGATGTAGCAAAGGTATAAACAAGCATCTCTCCGTGTTGGACAATTGGCATACTGATAGTTGGGTAGGCATACATTCCGTTAAACTGCATGAGTTGAAGTCACCCAGAATAATCTCAGCACCAACAGGTGAGGCTGTCTCAGTTTGAGATACAAAGTGTTAGATTATATCAGCTGCTATCTTAATAGCTGCTGAAGGGGGAATATACACCACAAACAGCATAATTTGCTTGATTTCCTGTGGCAAATAAAATGGCGAAGATAAATGTCAAGGAGTTCGATATCCTTAGTGTCATGACTTAGACGTCCGGCACTTCCTATTAGCCCCTTGCAGCTGGTTTGGAGACTAGCTCCACACACGAGTTTGTTCATGTATCTAGTTCACGTTTCTCACAGCAGTTTGCTACCGAGTCTCGTCTCGTAATGTGTCGCTCTTTGTGACTTCCAGAACCGTTTATTTCTCTTACATGTCACAACCAGTGTTAGAAGGTATGTTATTTAACCCTATTATCATTCCTTGCCCTTAGGTATTTGTTATGATGGCCTTAGGGGGAGGTTTTCGTGACTTCTTTCTGCCCCTTTACGTTGAGCTTCGCCAGTGTTTGTACACACTATATTGGGTATGTATTGTTTCGTGGAACATTTTGAAGATTCGAGTGCCCCCTTTAGAGTTTTCTGAAGTAATTCTCTATGTTACTTGCCTTCGATTAGAAGTTGTAGATTCATGCAGTCTGTTATAATCCCGTATGGGAGAGTGATAATGGTTACATGTAGTTGGTTCCTTGCGGGACTATTTTGTTCAGTTTGGCGTGGAGGATTAAGTTGAGACAGACCATGTAGGCAGCACACGCTCGTGATCTGCGGCGGAGTGATGTTTTTGCAGGTGATTTGCCTTAGCGTAGTCTCTTTGCAGGCGTTTCCCCGAAAATTGTGCTTTGGCGGTTTCGCACCATTTTTAGACTGAAAAATGTAGTTTTCCCTAGTTTTGAGAATTGTACTTAATGTTTACCAAACCCTCAACAGTGTGTACCCATCAAGTTCAATCAGTGTGTCTGGGTCGTTCTCCGTTACTTTGAGAGCTCTAAGTCACTCCATGCAGCGGGTTACCTTTAATATGGGCCATTTGGCTTTCGAAGTTCAGAATGCTATAAATGCCAATTCAGAAATTACAGAGGAAAGAAAAGACTGGATCAATCAAACTGCACCAAAGTGCAATAACGTGTACGGTGCAGGGCTGGTGGCTTCGATTTCTTATACGAACAAGTACCCAAAGAAGTCGTTTCAAAGTCAAAAACTACCTTGAATAGCGCCCCCTCGTCTCGTTTAATCTTAATTGAACAATCCACTTTTTCTTAGGAAATCGGTGAAAGCTCATTGCTGGCAATGATCTTCGTCTGTAATATTCGTACGATGATTGTGGGTGAGGAGTCTTAGAATACTGGTTTGGTACCTGACCGGAGGTGTCCCTCTCGTGATCCGCTTCGAAAGACGCAGTGGTTGCGTCACGGTGAATGCAGACTGGTCCTCGTCAGTTTATGCAGGGTCCACCGTTCGAAGAATGGCAATTGGCTCTGGTGCCACTAACTGCTCATGAGAATATGGGCTGAGGGTGGAAAAGGCTCCGTCTTGGTTACCCTCAAAATATCCAGGCGATTGTCGGGGCTGGAAGAAGTCTCGATAGTTCAAAGCAGAGCAAGTTGGCATTGAACTCAAAGAGCTGTCCCTCGCATACAGGACGAGATAGGAGTTGGTGAGAGGAGTCATGTGTACAAATGGTATTGCCTTGACCGGCTTTCCCTCCGACACATCTTGACAGGGTGCTAGTATTTCAGGTTCAGGAGGGATCTGCGGCGAAATGGTTACTGAAGGGGCTGTCTTGGGTTCAAAGGTCAAGACTACACCCTATTTACCATCAGCTGCGGATGTGTCCTCAGAAGAGCTTGGTGGGGGCACAGCTGAAGAAGACACTGAATCAGCTGCCATCTCAGGGGCTTAACTTTCCAATGGCAGTGTTGATTTCACAGTGATGTAGCACTTTCTCCACGCCCTTTGGGTCCCGATACAGACACATTGATGTTTTTATAACGTGATTGATATGTTATGCCTAATGTTTTCATAATATTCCACAAAAATGTTATGGCGACATTATGACATGTAAGGGAACGTTGGTGAAATGTCTTTGCAATCTTTAATTAGCATTAATATGTTAAAACCTCAAACTGATGTGATCATGGCCGTATTTTGAATGATGTTATAGCGACATGGTCTTGCAAACTTTTTTATGACATCTTTATGATTTTTTACGAAACGTATGGCAATGTTTTTACAAAGTACTACTTAAAAAATTCAAAATAAGGTTTCGTGACGTACCACTAAAAACTCCAAATAAGGTTTCGTGACGCTAGTTATCTGCCGATCTTCACTTTTGGTCTACCTCTCAATCAACGTGCAAGCCTCAATGCAATTTTAATCTCTCACTTGTTCCTGCAACAAATGAAAACAAGGCATAAAATCCACCATGGTATCCGTATATCGAAACGCACAAGTTAATAGACAGGAGTAGTTAAGCGTGGATGACTGTTATGCTTTATACAACACTTGCTGTACGCCACAGCTTATGTACTTTTGTCTATGGATCGTATTTAGGTGTTCCTATATGACTTTCCTCCTTAATCAAAGTAAAGACGCGAAGAAACTTGTTGTATTGGATTACTTTCACTATTTTAGACAATTTGTATTGTGAAACTTTAAAGTATCAAATGCTAAAAGTTCAATACTAATTTCATGAGCGTACTCTAAAAAGCTATCTATTGAGTAAAACTGAAAACTTTGGTTAAAAAAATAACAGAATTGCAACAACACTTCATAACCACGCCAACTTAGGGTCAATATGTAAATTGAGGTCAAAACAACATTGTAATGATATATTTACAACATAGTACATTGTGATAGCGTCATTACAGTGACATGCGAACACTGTCATACAACATCAACCAACAGTCACAATATTCATGTTAAGCACAGTATTTTGAAACACCCCTTACAGTTAAATATTAATAATATTTTCATTGCATCTAATTGAAAATTGATTTTATTTTTAACAAAGTTATTTTCCCCAAAGTTTCGAACGTTATTGCGTGATTCGTAAGCACTATTGACCCTTCCATTGACCCAAACGTCGATGGAAATACATTTATCAGCATGTTTGACTTTTTTAAATTTATTCAATGTCACAACTAAAATTAGTGTGATTCCGAAACATCATCGAAACATGTCAGAAACAAAACGACAATGTTAACATGATATTTTGAGAACATCAATATGCTCCGTTTATCCTCTTTTTCAAATATGTCTCAAACATCAATTTCCGATTTTGTAATAAAAAACTATGATGTATGTTCAACGCATTTAAACGTCAGCGGTAGTTCAGCTTAATGAAACCTCCATGAAATGTTTTAAGAACGTTACAAAAATAGCATAATATTTGTACGATACTTTCTGATTACGATACCTACAGTTTTACAAGTACGTTAGTCAACCTCCTTCTAATTTTAACTTGAAACTATCGATAAAATGTTGTTACTATGATGTTTTAAAAATATTGAATCTTGTGAAATATATATATTAAATAAGGGAGTTTGAAATATTAATAGGTGTTGTTGAAGTGAATTACTTAAACGTAAGTTTATGTTCTGTTGATTCAAACATTAATAACATCTTTTGAAAATGTTATCAACACCAGCACGTCACATTTCCTTGATATTTACTCAGCATATTGGCCAAAGCAATACAAGTATATTGAATTTGCATCATTCAAGCATTTCAGTACCACTATCATAATGTTTAAATACTGCTGAGAAAATATCACATCCCTTCAACACATTTCACAAACTAACCCATTTCAAAGAAGCGTTTGTGATGCTTTCATCTATTCAAAGATTTATAAATTATTTTAAGAATATAATTTTCACTACATCATACGTCATAATAACAGATTTTAAACATCTTATTGTGGTGTTT